TATATATATATATATATATATATATATATATACATATAATTATAGTAAATTTCAAATAAAAACAAATAAGTTTTCTCTTTCTACTTTTAATAACTTACAAATTGTAGTGGTTCGTCAGATTCAACATTATGAACAGCCCAAAATATACAAACAAAGAATAGCAAGTTATAGAACAGTACAGATTTGGGACACCAAGTTCCTTGCATACCCCTGTAATGTTTTTTACATTTTATACATATTATAAAAATAAAAGTTTTTATAGATACATAAAATCTTTCCACTTCAGCAGAGAATCCAAGCTGTCCTTACCATGATACAAGTAGCAAGTGAATGGCAAATATAATCTGAAAAATATAATAATAAACGATATCGTATTGTTTTTATTATACAATATTTATATATTTACAAATTGTGAACTGCTAATCAAAGAACAAAAATAAGTTATGAATTCAAATACACACATAAATGTCAATTCAAAAATACAATATTACGTCATGAATATCGATGACAACATTGAAAACGTACACATTGAATAAGAAAGGACGTAGTTGACACTTCATACATTACCTTTAAAGAAAAATGAGATAAATTGGTTAAATTAGGCATCTTTGCCTCGCAACGATAGCCAATATACCAATAATGAGAGAATAAGACTGATTAATTGAAATGAGATTTAAAACATATTTCTCTGACCGAGAAATATCTAATCTGCGTTTTACGCCTACAATTTTCGGTTAGACAACACATACATACGGATACTACATTACTGTGTATAATCACATATAGTACGTATATCAGCTGTGCATCAGTAGCGCCAAACAGCACCTTTTGTAGCTTCTGCCATCTGCTGCTTTACCAAAAATTGGTAAAATTGTTTTTGCTTGATTTTACCAATGTAGATTAATTTAACCACCGACGAGATACTATTAAAGAACGACATCCTTACGGGAGTTCGCGTCCTTGTAAATATTAAAGTGATTAAAAGTTTTAAATTGATAATATTATACTAACTAATTTAATCTTATATTACTTGCGCGATTCTTTTAAACGTAATATATAATTATTCGCGTGTGTGAGGTATTTTTGGTATGCCTCAATTTTCATTATACTCTTAAATAATTCATAAAATAATTCATTAAATAAATATATAAAGGTTGATAATATTCTATAAAGATGCATGCAAATTTTCTTAATATTGCGAAATTTGCGCTCAATACAGCTTTGGTTAAAAGTATATTAAATATCTTGTTAATCATTATTTAATTTTTCAGCTAGAAAATTAATTTATGACACTACTATATTACTGCAAATTATTTTGGGTTTCAAACATTTTTTAAACTAATATAATGCCAATCATGGCTTGGTAAAGTAACTGGTACGACTTATTTAAAATAAAAAATATAAAATAAGTTCCAGAAACTTATTTAAAATATAAAAGAATCGGTAAAAAACTGATACCACTCATTTTAAATAAAAAATATAAAATAGATTCGGGAAACTTATTTAAAACACTAAAGAAGAAATAAGTCAGAAGTGTAGTTATTTAAAATAATAAATACCAAATAACTCTTTCATATTTTTTATTTAAAATATAATTACTTTAAATAACTTTATTTAATCCTATTAGTATATCTTAGTTTTGGATATTACTATATATACGTTGGGTCATTCGTGTTCTGGATTAATTTTCATCATTTTTACAAGCACATAAAAATTATTAAATGATTTTTACGTAAATTTTGACATCTTTAGAAAATATTTGTAAAGTTGTATATTTATAACAAATTGTATATACTCCTTATAGAAACAAATCAGGTACGCCTGATGGAAGTAAATCGCTGAAATCGCTGAAATAAATCTATCAAATTAATAGAGATTTCAATGATTTTCAGCGATTTATTGTCATCAGAAGCACCAAAAAAAAAAAAAAAAGATATTGTCGTGTAGTTTGCATCCACTTCTTCAGAGGGCAGTGATATGCGATTACAGAAAAAAAGCCCTTATGTCTTCTCTTAGGTTTCTCTCTAAGCTGCTTTGACACACGCATCGACACGTATCGGCACGCACAGACACGCATGTGTGTGCAAGTAGCGGCAAGTGACCGAGTCATCGCGATAAGAAGACGTTAACACGAATCTTCCATGTGCGTCAGAGGTTTTCAAGTTCGATATCTTCGGCTGGCATGTTACAATAATTGTTACAATAATTTACAACGTGCCAATTGTTGTCGACTGTCATTTTCCTCTTGGCGGTAAAAAATATTTATGAACATGTTACAGAGAAGTCGTTATTTATTAAGGTATTTTCGACCCTTTGTGAGATTTTATCATGAGGAAGCGTCTATCATCGGCACTACGCCGGATACCAGCTCACCGATGTATCAGGTTAGGAAGTACACTTGTGTATTTTTGTTTCATTATTTTTATAACTATAGTTGCGCTACTTCTCTTAAAAATGCAATAATATCATAATATATGAAAATTATATATAAAAATCGATATTGGATATTATAAATAACATTGAATTTGTGTTTCTTGCTTTAATTATACATATTTTGTAATACAAATGAATTGCGTGTTTACAAATATGTATTGTATATGTATAATTATTTTTAATATTGCAGGAGAATTACATGCAAATGAAAAATCTTATTGATCAATTGAAGAACACTGTGGAGAAAATAGTTGAAGGTGGTGGACAGAAAGCCAAAGACAGACATACAAGCAAAGGAAAACTTTTACCTCGAGAACGGATAAATATTCTTTTGGATAAAAATTCGCCTTTCCTAGAATTTTCACAATTAGCAGGTTATGAGATGTATGGTGAGGAAGAAGTGCCGGCAGGTGGAATCATTACTGGTATTGGAAGAATAGAAGGGTATGTTATGGATAATAAAATTAATTTAGATTCTTTTGGAATCAGCACTTTAAATATCTTGTTTTAGCACTAAATGTGTAATAATTGCGAATGATCCTACTGTAAAGGCTGGTACATATTACCCTATTACGGTCAAGAAGCAGTTACGAGCTCAAGAAATTGCTGAGGAAAATATATTACCTTGCATTTATTTGGTTGATAGTGGAGGAGCAAATTTATTCAGACAGGATGATATATTTGCAGATAAAATACATTTTGGCAGAACCTTCTATAATCAAGCAAACATGAGTGCTAAAGGAATAGCTCAAATCGCAGTGGTTTTGGGAAGTTGCACAGCAGGTTTGTCATTATTTTGTTGAATTTGTTGAAGTGGAGTCACTTTAAGAAGTTAAAATTGAGTTAATATTAAAAAAAATGGATCAATTTTTAATCTTTAAAAATAAAATTTTATTCTTCAGAGTGAGATTCACTCCCAATTTTTAGAGAGTATTGATATCATTAATACATTAATTTTTTTATGTTATGTGTAATTTATCATTTGTATAATCTTTATTATAGGTGGTGCATATATTCCTTCTATGGCAGATGAAAATATTATTGTTGGCAATCAAGGTACAATATTTTTAGCTGGCCCACCATTGGTAAAGGCTTCAACTGGTGAAGAAGTTTCAGCGGAGGATTTAGGTGGAGCTGCGGTTCATTGTCGGTAATTATTTTAAACGCTATATATATAGACCGTTCATAAATGCTTGGTTGTAATTAAAATTGTAGACAGTCTGGCGTAACCGATCATTACGCGATAGACGATACGCATGCTTTATATCTCGCGCGTCGAATTGTGAGAGATTTAAATTTGCAACCACCTATGGATGTAAAAGTCAGTAAAAACATTGAACTGCCTGTGCATGCCATTGATGACATCTATGGCATTGTTGGAACGAATCTAAAATGTCCATATGATGTAAAAGAAGTCATCGCGAGGATCGTGGATGGTTCGAAATTTCATGAATTTAAAGCTCAATACGGCGAAACATTAGTCACTGGATTCGCCAAGATTTATGGCTATCCTGTTGGCATAGTCGCGAACAATGGTGTATTATTTTCGGAAAGTGCTCTGAAGGGAGCTCATTTTGTGCAACTTTGCGCTCAAAGAAAAATTCCTCTTCTTTTTCTGCAAAATATTACTGGTAGGTATAATTACATGAACGCCATTTAAGTGTTAATTTTTTTTAAATTTAAGCATTAAGAGAGCAAAATATAAATGTACAAATTTATAAATATAGGTTTTATGGTGGGTAGAGACGCAGAATTGGGAGGTATCGCCAAAAATGGTGCCAAAATGGTAACAGCAGTAGCATGCGCGCAGGTTCCAAAGATAACAGTGATTATCGGAGGATCTTATGGAGCTGGGAACTACGGTATTTTTTCTTTCTTTAGTTATTTTAATATTTTTTTTTTAAAGAAAGAAAAAGAATTTAAAGTAATACAATTTGAATAGGAATGTGTGGTCGATCTTATTCTCCACGTTTTCTTTACTGTTGGCCAAATGCTAGAATATCTGTAATGGGAGGAGAACAAGCAGCGAACGTATTAGCGCAAATTACAAAGGATCAACGTGCGAAAGAAGGCAAACAGGTGTGATTTTTGTTAACTTTTGTTTCTTTGACATTCAGATATGAATGTATATTTCAATTTTGCAGTGGACTCAAGAAGAAGAAGAGAATCTCAAGAATCCGATTATAAAACGATTCGAGAAGGAAGGCAATCCTTATTATTCTAGTGCTAGGTAAATTATTGTTATATACAAAAAATATTAATTTTGGATTATGAATATTCTAATATTTTTTAGATTATGGGATGATGGTGTGATTGATCCGGTGGACACGCGAGTCGTACTTGGTTTGAGTTTGTCAGCGAGTCTGAATGCGCCTATATCTGACACTAAATATGGAATTTTTCGAATGTAATGTAAGTACAGATAGGTATGAAAGTATATCTTGAAAGTACTCCATATTATTCTTAAACTTTTTTATATGTCTCTTTATATCTATATACATATACATAAGTCAAAAGTCATATTTTGTAAAAAAAAAAATTTTTTTATCACTAACATTAAATTCGAAATTTTCCAAATGTAATATAAGTACAGAAATGCATGAAAGTATAGCTTGAAAGTACTCTACATTGTTGTTAAATTTTATATAAATTTATATCTGATATACACATATATAGGTATATAAGGCCAAAAATTATATATATATTTTGTAAAAGAAATATTTTTTGTTAAATTGTTATACATTCCAAATATATGTTTTATTATATTTTACGCTGTTGATTTATAATGCTTATTTATAATCTTATGATTCCTTGCAAATGCATCTTACTGCCTGAAGTTTGCTACTTATATTGTTATTTTTAGTAACATGCATTTCTTGCATTATACTTCGGTTTAATTACAACGGCTAAAATTTTTCAAAGATAAAGGAAAATGGATGCATTCTTTATTTCATTCGTAATATATGAAGAGATAATTTAATAATGATTAAAAGATATTCATTATATCATATCTGCTATCGATTTATGTATTTATTTAACGTAATTACACTGAGATTACAAATACGCAATTAATAATTACTTAGTAATTAATTAAGTCGCATTTTAATATTACACCTCGTCGCACGACTAGGTCTTCGTCTTTCTCCGCTCGCAAAGGCCAATTTTCTTTTGGCAGTTACTCAATCAAGAGATACAGCAATTACTTATGATATATAATTAAAAAAGTATAATAAAACTAAAAATATTAATACATCGTGATTGAAAATTCGGCGGTCGCAGAGCGGAGAAATCATACGTTACTGTTTATTATGTTAACGCCATTAA